CTCAATATGGATGCGACGAAAGTACCACGTGGAAGCCTAACATGGACCGAATGTCACATGTCAGTAGGAGGCGAATCATTATGTATCGTGATTAACTCGGGGCTCACCTCACTATGACGCATAAGATAACCAGTTTTGGAGGAGAAATGCTTCCATGGGGCAGTCTCACCATCCACATGGATGGTGCGACCGCCCATTTCATCTGGGTAGCCTCCCCGACAAGATGGTGCTTCCTTATAGGACGGTCTCATTGTCACGTAGTGCGACTGCCCCATAGAAGTATTTCTCGTTTTGGAGGTTGGCTACTTGATGAACTCGAGGCTTGACATATGAAGAGAATTCTAATCCTATATATCTCTCTATCATGGACCGGTGAAGTAGTATTGGTTTCGTAAGTTCTTCTCAAATAAGGCAAAAACCCTCAATCATCATTATAATTCACTACAGACCTTTCCTTAGGTAAAAAGATTCGGGGAACAACATAATATTCTCGTGATAACTAAACTAAGGAACCACTTTCCAATACAAGGTAGCAATTATAAAAGTCATAAAATTGGATATATAACTATATATGACAAGACAGAAGCCTTGGTAACAAGAGTCAAAAGGACAAGTAAGAGGTATTCCCAAATCTCCTATAAATCCTCCACACTTGCACAAACAAAATTTATGCAAAAAATAGTGCACTCTTAACAGAAACTCTATCCATTTTTTTTTTTTTTTTACACTCGATATTTGATTTAATTGCCAGAATGCAAATGATTACTAGATCATATCTAGTATTACGCTATGTATTTAACACATAAATGGATGAGAATTTGTTGACAGTTGAGTTGTACGGATTTGAAGGTCAAACACGTCTCATTTGACATAATATGATAATAGAAAGTGTCAAATTTCATTGCCAATGAGGAAAATTGACAATAGCTCATAAATATGGGGGTCAACCTGATAATACCCAGACTACAAGGGCCTTTATTGATATTTTCCCCCACCTGACGCAATACGACACTTTCTCCCCGATTGCTCGTCTATTAGCACTGGCTAGCATGAGTCCACGGCATTTTCCCAACACCGGTGGCGGCGACGCGTGTATCTTCGAGGGTCTAAACACCCGTAAAGTCCTCACCTAAAACCTTAAAGTTATATATTACTACTTTTTAGAACGATGAACTTCGTCGATGAGAAATTCGAGCTGAGAGAAATTCAGTGACTCGAAGGCCACATTGATAGGGTTTGGAGCGTAGCTTGGAAACTGGGAAGTGGAGACAATGGTGTTCCTACCTTATTGGCTTTCTGTAGCGGAGACAAAACCGTTTGTATTTGGGAACAAAATCTCGCCACAAGCTCTTTCCAGCAAAAGGTTTCATTTTTCTCTTCATTCAAGCTTCTGTTTACCTGCTGAGATCGAGACGTGTCGACAAGAGTATAAACATATAAGATTATTCTTTGATCAACATAAATTGCAAATTAAGGCCTTAAATGATTTAAACTGCCTGAAGTTCTCGAGTGAAGATCATAGACTTTTATAATGGTATTGTTGAACGTAGATCGAAAGTGGTGAGGGGGTGAGGTTGCTTTTTTTTTACCCCTAACAATGCTGCTTTGCAGGCAGTCTTGGAGGAGACGCACACTAGGACTGTTAGATGGGGATGTCAATTGATTCGATTTTGATCCGAATCCAATGAAATTAACGGGAGATGGACTTAGGATATCAGTCCGATAACCCGATCAAGATCCAAATTCGATAATCCGTTAACTAAATGGAGCAAATATGTATATAGGTCAATCCGATCCGATTTATTATAATATATAATATATTTTATATATTATCGCATAATTTATTACACATAATTTTCTTTTTTTCATTTTAAAACTTGTATTATAATAAAACATAATTTTTAAAATACTAATAATATTATATAAAAGTATAAGGTTGTTAATTGAAATATATGAAGAGATTTAATTTTTTATTAATTAAAATAAGATAAAAATAATAATTAATTTATTTTATAAATCAAACTTATGTTTGAGCCACATTCTAGGAAAAAAAAATATATTATTTATGTCAAATCAATGAGAAATGTATGGTTAAAAAATAAGAAAAATTTTAAATTTACGTGTAATATTATTTTATTGAAAAATATATGATTGAAATGATATTAAATCACTGTTGAAAAATGTATTTTTTTTTAAAAATAATGTGGCTCAAACAAGCCCTAAACAACCAAAGGAGCCAACATTGGAATTGCTTTCATTATGTTCAACTTATCACTTCCCACATTTGATACTCATTAAAATATCATAAAATTTACAATCTATAAATAAGTGGGCCAAGAATTTGGTAAAAAGCTATCTAGGCCTTTTAATTCTAGGGTTAGAAATTGAATAAAATTTTTATTTTTCTAATTTTTTCAATTTTGTATCGGGTTATCGGATATCCGATAACACGACGAATCGGATATGGATTTAACAATCAAATATCCTTTAGATTATCAGATCGGATCAGGATAAGATAATTTTCTTAACGGATCGGATCGAATTTTGACAGATCCAATCCATTTACAGCCCTACTGCTAGATCATGTCCTGGTTGCCCTCTGGCAAATTGTTGGCGACAGCAAGTTTTGATGCCACCATTGCTATCTGGGACAATGTTGGTGATGATTTTGAATGCATTTCGACCTTAGAGGTATTGCATTTGATTTTATGTCTTGATATCATCTCGTGGATTTATATGTGGTTTGAGTTATCCAGTTTGTATTATTCCTTTGTTGTTGGACATTCTCAACTCCATATTGTCCCAATATATGATTAAAAATTATATTTACATCAGGGTCATGAAAATGAAGTTAAAAGTGTTTCTTGGAATGCGTCTGGCTCACTTCTTGCAACTTCTGGACGAGACAAATCAGTGTGGATATGGGAAGTATTATCCCATAATGAGTTTGACTGCGTTTCAGTGTTGCAAGGACATACTCAAGATGTGAAAATGGTCCAGTGGCATCCCTTTATGGATATTTTGCTCTCGTGTAGTTACGACAACACTATGAAGGTATATATAGAAGGAGGAAAAAGAATATTTTCTTGGTGTTTAAGATATTCAAGTTTGTTTGGCCACTTACAATATCATTAATATAACTGCCGTTTAATTCAACATATCAGGTATTGATAACTAAGGCAAGTCCAACTCTTGTATGTCTGGGCTGAGGATGGGGACAGTGATGATTGGCATTGTGTTCAAACTTTAGGTGAATCCAACAGGTACTTGTTGATATTTCATGGTCATATGTTCTGTGCTTCACTGGCCTGTAAATTTTTTACGTTGCTCTAAATGTATGATTGTGCATCAATAATTGATCGAGATTCTCCATTACTTTTGAGTACTCTTAAAATGTCTGCCTGTGTTTTCAGTGGACTTCAAAATGGTTTCCTGTAGGTATGCAGAGCACTCCATGATGCTTGCTCACATTTAATATATAAATGGTATTGTTAAAGCAGTGTCTTAGAAGTCTGTTTCAATCATGACAAAGAACGTTTGTTGTGAAGACGCTTGTAATGTAGTCATTGATTTTGCAGTGATGATCTTACCGTTAAGATATGGGGTGCTGCCATTACAAGGATGCAGTCGGCAGATGGAAATGCACCTTCGTGCGCTGCATATCAGCTTATTCATTTGATTCTCCATCTTTCCATATTATTAGATGTATATTTGGTTTTCTTTCAAAGATTTACCTTTTAGCAGCTAGATTCTTGACAACAAAACTTCAGAGTCTTCAAAGATGAAATGCTCACAATCTCGCTATTCTATCCACCTGTATGTAAGGATTGCATGCTTTATTGTTTAGAAGTTGTCAAATGACTAACAATTGAGGAAATTTAAAGGAGAGACATAAATAGGAAACTGAAAGGGATCAACTCATAATGAAACTATAGTATCAGGGCGGCTGAGCTTTGATTGAGCATAGATCAAATGACGATGGAATATCCGGTTTGCAGTTCATCTTAATGTTTATATGATGATGAATTAAATTAGACAAAAAACCACCAAATTGTCCTATTGCATTCACATACCCACTGAATTCATTTTAGAAATGAAAACATGAGCTGATAAATGAATGCTTTTTCAGTAGAAGGGAAAAATGCAAGTATGTATGTATATATATGTATATATATATATATATATCTCTTCTCCTTCTTCTTCTTCCATTTTCCCCTTATAACTGAAGTTTCGTTAGAATGTTGACTTGAGGCTAAGTTGAAATGTAAGGAATAACCATAGAAGAAAACTTTTTTGTTGTCCAAGATGGTTATGTAGCCAGAATAGAAATGATAAAGTGAAAAATGAAAGTTTTAGTCAATAAGTAGAGGTGACACCAGTAGAGGATAAATTAAGGGCAACACGGTTAGATGGTTGCGGCATGTCTTGTCTATGTCTGATATTAATTTTTTCATTATGCAAGGGAACTATAATGTTATGCATTATTGAATTGCTTAATTGGATACAATGCTTACTTTTTCCTTCATCAGAAGTTCTTCTAATGTTATTATATTGTGTTGCTCACATCATATCTTCATTCTGAAAATTTAAATGCATCTTTCACAGTTCAGTACTAGATTTGATCGTTAATAAAAAAAGGAAAGAAAATATTGAAGCTTTGGAGAACATATTGGGTAAATTGGAAGAATCTTATATAATGTTGAAATACTGAACTTAATTAATCTTTATCTCATACTTATAAATGGTCAGCTATATGGATACTCCGTTTCCCATCTACTCCATCCATAGTCCTTTTTAAAGTTATACAACATAGGCTTAAAACCTTGTACATTACCTCATTCCAAGTGCCGAACCAAGTAAATTCCCTTTGTTTTATCTTTTTTATATTTTCTCTACAAACCAATTTCGTGATCTGGGCTCTACAACTGGTATTGGGGCAGATAAAGGTTCTGGGATAAAGTACCGCTACTACCCATTTATAAAATTTGTGCACATGTCAAAACTTTGTTAAAAGAATGACTCCGGCAGCCCAGCTTACATGCAAGGAGGCGCTCTTGAAGGCAAAACTTAAATTAAATTGGCCCCATCTCTAAAAGCTTAACCCTTTAGATGAGGTGGTTCAACAACTATTAATTTATTTTCACTATGCAAGGAAAATGTATTGAATTATTAAACTCCAAAATGTTGGCGCTCTTATGTTTTTGACTAGCATTCTGATCTGATTGTAACGTAATTTATACTTATACAGTTGCTTGATTGGATACAATACTTGCTACTCATGGAACTGATGTTGGTTTATATACAGGATTTTATTTGAGTTGTGATACTTTTATGGTAGTTGCTTATTTTCTTTTCACAAGTTTTTCTAATGATAGTGTACTAATGTTGGCGCTCTTATGTTTTTGACTAGCATTCTGATCTGATTGTAACGTAATTTATACTTATACAGTTGCTTGATTGGATACAATACTTGCTACTCATGGAACTGATGTTGGTTTATATACAGGATTTTATTTGAGTTGTGATACTTTTATGGTAGTTGCTTATTTTCTTTTCACAAGTTTTTCTAATGATAGTGTACTAGCAGTTCAAAGTATATTTTTCTCCTTCATAATTAAATGCATTTGCTACAATTCACTGCTAGATTTGGTCGCTTTAATCTCGAATGTAATCAAGCAAGTAATGTATAAATGTGAAGGGTTACACGTATTGTTTTTGGGGTATTTTTATGAAAATTGTGTTGTCTGGTTTGAATTGAAAATCACCAATATGCAAATCGATAATACATATTCTTTTGCTTTTGTCAGGACACATCTTTGTACTCTCTTTGGTTATCATGATCGCACAATTTTTTCTGTCCATTGTTCAAGGTAGCAAGATGCGTTCACCTTATTCTCCTCCTATTCATTCACAATCTGTTTTTTTAATATGTATTCACACAGCTTGATGGTTTTAACTTTTCTGGCCAATGTTTATCAACAAAAAATATTTTGTGCTTGTATATGCTAATTTGAATCACATGTAACCTTGGTGAAAGAAAGGGATTAAGATCATCTAAAGAACTCAATGCAAGAACCAGAACCAAACGAAATGAATGAAATTTTGATATATGTGCACACGTCATTGAAAACCAGTTTCATTATGTCAATTCTCCTGAATATCTATACAGTTGCCATTACGTTTTTCCTGGTTTCATAATTGAAAGTTACTTTTTCTTGTATCTGTTTGCAGGTTGATGAACCTTTTTACAAATTACTTCTGAAGATAGAGAAGGCTCATGACATGGATGTAAATGCTGTACAGTGGTTTTCTGCGGTAAATATATTGAGAGATAGAGATACATATTACATGCATACAAATTTTGAAAGCAGTCTGCATAACTGATTAATATCTCTCTTGGGGGGTGGGGCGCGCGGGATGTGTAAGTGTTATGCCCTAGATCCAATCGATTTAGATTGTAAACGCTTTTAATATATTTAATGCATTTGATTTTGGCGAGATCTATTATTTATTTAAATTAATTTTGTGATAAATAATATTAAATAATAGAATCCGAAAATCCAATTTTTAGGTAATCTGTTAATCACAAGGAGTTGTGATTGTGAGATACAAATTACATATAATTGGATCTTGAATAAACCATGGTCGTAAGTAATAACAAGATACGGATATCGTTACTACAGTTAGACCATCACGTGTGGCATTTCTTACTTGTGAAGTAAGTAGCTGATCTCACGAGCTAAAGTGTGGTGACACTTAAATGAACACGTGGATGTCTTGTTATAGAACAAAATATTGGAGACCCGCTAAGAGATTCCACATGGATAACTATCTGAATGTTAGTGGCTAATCTCTAACGTTCGGTAGTGGAATTGGTCCTTTGACTTGAGGTCGTCATGGTACCTTATATGAGGACAGTCATATTTTGGCGGTGTTGGATGTTGCTCTGAAATGGGCCACTAATACGACATCGTTCGGGTTCGTCAAAAATCGTATGAAGGTTGTGATTGATCAATAAAGGATTCGTCACTCTTAGATAGTAGGAGATTATGATCTGCGTTTCATTCAATTAAGTCGATGATGAAATCCTTGGTCAAGGTGTACTCATAAGTCGAAAAGGACTTTTCGATTTATATTGACTTAATAGTGGAGTGAAAGATATAATCAATGATCGAGATTGACACAATTTCATATTTCGTAATTGATCGGATCGTATTGACAAAGGGATAATAGTTTCACGGTAAACAAACGAATTTGGTTTTGTCATACCACGTGATATTTTTCGTCACATGTATTGCCCTGACACATTGCTAGATGTCAATCAGGGACAACGAGTGTGAATTGACGATAAATTAAAATGGTGTATTAATTTATCAATTTTGATTAGATCAAAAATAATATTTCACGACATTAGGCATCGTGGTCGGGAATCTAATGAGTCGCACACAAAAGAGAATTGGAAGATTGCAAATTGTCAATTGGTTAATTTAACAATCGTTGGATAAATTAATTAATTGAATTTGTTATTTATATTCCCGAATTAATTAATTGGATTAATTAATTCACGGACCGGGTTTAATTAATTGGATTAATTAAATATTGGACCGGACCGGACCGGGTCCGTTTGGGTTTATATATATACAAAGCTAGGGTTTGAGGTCCATAAGGGTTTTCATTATTCTTGCTGGCATAAGAGAGAAACCTTAGCAGTTGCAGTCTATTCTCTATGTGGATTTCATTAGAGGATGGACAATTGGACAGCTGTGGGAGGCAGATTCAAGCTGTTGGAAAGGAATAACGCGAAGGAGTTTGCAAATTACAAGAAAATGTATATTTCTTATCACACTTTTTATCTAAATACAAAGTTGAATCCTGAATAGGAATTGAAATTTGTTAAATTTCGCTGTGCATGTTTAAGTAAATTCCCTATAGTGGTATCAGAGCCAACTTTGTATTTGTTAGGAATTGTTTAACGTGTTGATTAAATTAAATGTTAGTTTAATCACGTTCATTCCTAAATCTAGCAAATATAGTTTTAATTTTTTGTCTTTTTGGATCTGTTCTTGAAAAAAAAAAATTTGGGTCGAGAGGCAGGCGGAGCAGCCGCACGGCGCGGCAGGCGCTGCTATCGCGCTACAAACCGGTAGCGCGATACGCTGCTGGTTATTTCAATTGGGCGGTGCCGGTGAAAAGAAATAAAAAAAAAAAAATTTAGGTTTAGGGTTTTGGTGGAGACGGGGGCCTTTGTTGCAAATAATGTAATTAGGGGCCCCTGGTTGCAATTACAAAAATGGGGTCAATTTGCAATTTTAAAATCAGAGATCTATTTTGTAAATTTTGATTTTGGAAGGGTCTGCTGTTAATTTCTAATTTGGGTAAAGTTTGTAAAATTTCAAAAAGGTTTTGATTTTGAATTATTTTAAAAATGAGTTTTAAATTGGGTTTGACCCATGCCTTAATTTAGACCCAGAATTAAAAATTTATTTAAAAATTTGACGACTTTTATATTTTTGTTAAAATTAGATTTTAACTTAAATATTTAGTTTGACCCTTAATTGGATTTTATTTTGTTAGGAAATTTTGTCCTAAATTAAAATATTAATTCAATTTTATTAGAGTTGGACTCTAATATTACATTAATTAAAATTTGCTTTGAATTAGCACCACTTCCCTATGCAAATTAGTACTTAGAGTATGACTCTTATTTAATAATTAATTAAAATTTGATTTTGATTAAATTACTTCACCCAATAGTTATGGATTTAGAGTTGGACTCTAATTCGGGATTTAGTTAAAATTTGATTTTAATTAAATTGGCCCGTCAATTAAATTAATTAATTAATATGATTAATTAATTGTTTAATTATCTCGATCCCAAAATTTTGATTTAATTTTGACGACTATAATTGCTAGATTTATGAGACATTGCATATAATATTAGATATTATACATAGGAAATATTTATGTGATGAATGTTTGTGGATGATTATGGACTCAACCATATAGATGTGTTGAATGGTTGATTTACTTCTTATTGTTGTTGTGGACCTGCGAGCTCCTTATTAAATATTGGACCTGCGAGTCTGTTATTATTATTATTATTATGGGTCTGCGAGTCCGATTTCTTTTAGGCCTGTGTGCCAACTAGTATATGATACATGTTGCAAGTTCAGCTAATTGGAGGCGCAAGAAGAGGTGGACACCATGGAGATGGTAAATTGGTATTGATCCAATACTGTACCCCTTAGGAATTGACCAACTAGTTTTCCTTTTGGCTCGAAAAAATTAAATAGAACAAGTCCATAATCATCCATACTATTACTTATATATATATATATAT